GTGCTTCTGTGACGAAGTGCGTGGCAGGTGCGGATCCACGTGTCAATTCATGGGAAGGGTCCAACATGAATCCAGTTCACGTTCACGCTTTTGACACGTTTGCACGTGTTGACTCCACGCCGCTAACAGTTGTGGAAGTTTTACAGCGGGAATTCAAAATTTTCATAGTCGAACTGGTTATCATAATTATTATCAAAACCATCGCCTATGTTCCGTTCTTTTTGCTATCTTCATGAAGCAAGGGGCCTAAGGTATCGTTTTTTTTGTAGGAATGGAGGCGATGTTTTTCCGTGGAAGATTCCTTTAAGCTCATTTGAACACCACCCGTACATTAAATTTCGAACGTACTAGCTGGTCCCTTGTCTATAATGGTAGGGAAGGTATAAATCAACAGGGTGGGTGTACGGTCCCTAACCATAAGACGGCGATCACAGATCTTGCATGTATATTACCTTTGGAAAACATGAAGATTCATTTTCATAATAAAAACAACAGAATAATCAACATAACAACCACATATAGTGAAAATAATTAAACTCAATAATTCAGTCTCGACGGCTCTAAAAACAAGTAAAAAGGTGAAAGCCTTGAGGACTGAAGTGATTATTCCGTTACCTACATAACCTACCTACGTTACTACCTACATTTATTTGCACCGATCAAATTTGATGATACAAATTCTTTCACAAAACGCTAGAGTAATACTAATCGCTATCAAGGAGATATTCAATTCATATTTAGCGCTAGGATAAGATATGGGTTGGCCACATTCAAAAAAAATGTTATCCTTGTCAGGACTAGCGCATGTAGGGCCACAACGGATGAACCATAAAATTAGTTCTAAAAATTGCAAATTCACGTCATTTGAAGGAGGTTAAAAGGCGAGGTAGTCAAATAGGCACAACGATAAGCCCGCAACAACGAATTCTACAAGAAACAAAACGGGATGAAACCGAGTTTGTATGAGAAAAGAATTTTAGACAGAAAAAAAGGTAAGGCATTGGAGTCACCGAATCACCTAGATTAAGAAGTACTTTAAAACCTCATCTTTGTCATTGTGTTGCTGTTCATGTAAACAAAAAGTGCTCCAGCAGCCAAACGTGCCGTCAGCTCCTCCTCTTCAATTGCATGAGCCCATTCTACCTGAAAACATGGAGCGTTAGGGGATATCTCAAACATTGCTTATGCTTCAGAGGCACATTCTGCTATGAGTAAGGTGACTGTAGCACTCGAAAAGAAAAAGTACGATGGTACGATGTGGAGTGCGAGTTAAGAAATAAGGAACAGAAAACCCCTTAAACGAGGATTTTCTATTTTAAATGGTTCAAATGTTTGAGAAACAAAGAGGGACAGGCAGTCTCCGAAGTAATGAGTACGGAAGCAAAAGAACAGACTCGTGAGAAGAGAATGTGCAGCGGAGGAGCACGAGCATAGACACCCTGGCCGCTATATCCTTTACTTCTAGAGCTGAAAGAGTGCGCTCAACGGCGATCATGAGAAGGCATTAGTCCTGTTGTAGGGCACTGGTACCACGAGAACGGCACATATGCTGTCACTGTGAGATATTATGTCTTACTCATAAAGAAGAAAAATTCCACTTCCTTAGTGAAATGCGTCCTAGAAAAGAATAGTAGAGCGAGGTATTCGAAATTACCAATGAAACAAGCTGAATGTAATATCGAGATACGGACATACGCCTTTCAACGAAGGCAAGCATTCCAGCGGCGCCTGTAAGCCGACTAGCGTCGCTAACTCCTACGAATTGGCAGTCCCTAGCCACGACTACTTCTAGCTGTGAGCGGAGAGAGCGTTAGCGTTAAAGAGGGCAGCATGGATGAGATTCGCTAAACGCGCGAATCAACACGCAAAAAAGGAATCCCATTCCTCGGACTTTGTGTCGTTTTGCATGATTTTTTCTCCATTCATGTATCAATAACCACCTCTACCACGATACAAGACAGATAACAGAAAGGACCGCGGAATGACTGTTACGTAACCCAGGTCCGCGGCATTTTACGAATCAGAATGATGAACGGCTGCTCCTCGGAGCTGCGAAAACGCTGGCCGAATGCACGCCCCCGGCCAATTTGGGCAGCGTCGCCACACTACCGCTTGCTACAGCTTAGATGCTCCGTACAATGAGCGGCGTCCGTATCCCCATACTTGTCGTGCGCTGGAATGCGACACAAAGAGGCATTGTCGAATGCAGTGGCATCGATTTGGATTGCGGGGCGAATTACGGTAACAGTTGTTCTGCGGCCTCTGTTATCCGTCTGATTACCATGATTCCTAATAGGCTGTATTTCCCGCATCGTAAACTCGCTTAAGATGATTAGGCCTTATGCAAAGAAAAAATAAATCACTGTTCGGGTGCGGCGATTAGCAGAATGCGATTAGCGATACACGATACGGTTCTATCCGCCCAATCGTCTGAGTCGTCAACTGTGAACAATGCCAGAAAGTTCCTTGAACAAAAGTGAAATCAGCGTTGAAGGAATATGATGTAGAAAGAAGCCCAGATACGAGAGGGAGCGGAGCCAAATTTCACTCAAGCGAAGACCTACCTTTCAAGACTCCAGTCAAGTAAAAATCGTGAGCTACACCTGATCTCGTCACGTCACCATGAGACGTTTAGTGAAGTATTATGATCTAGTAGCAAGAAGTAGTTTATACATCTTGCATCAATGGGAGGCGTGGCTATTTAGTGGGCGGAGTCTGTGAAAAGAGATTCTGATAAGGCATTGTTAGGTAAGCGCTAATCTCAGGAATTTGAAGAAATTCGAGGGCTATAATCAGGATTGCCCACTACCATGGAGGAAATCAACCAAATAAATAAGAACAGGGAGCCATTCAGACTATCGTGACACCTACCTCAACGAAATACCTACCTGCTTCCACTCCATAAAGTCCGCAATCTCAAAAATAAAACGGCTATGGTACTCAAGTTTGATAGTAGCTTTAGAGTGCGTCAATTAACCGTCTTTTACCTACTAATGACCTACTACAGTGACAGCAGCCTTTAGCATGTCTTAGACTCGATCTGTGCGCCCTTTCTATGCAAGTCTACGATACTGACAGCAGAACAGCGTCACTAAGCATTGAAAACGTAGCAGAATCTGAGAAGCTGTTTGTAATAAACTCACCGATCCCCATGTCTCCCTCTGCGTCTTCTGCTCAATCAGCGCGTTGTGGACGGCTTCCGAAGCGCCTAACTTGAAACGTGACCACCGAGTACGGTAGCAGAACACTTTTCACTGCCTCTGCAGCATACTGCATACCCGTTAGCGCCCAGAAAGTTATATGACAGCAACCATTTTTCGAATTTGTTTGCATCAGCCGAAGAAACTACATCAGTCTCTAAATGAAAAAGTTAAAACGCACAAAATGATGGGTTCACGACATGGAACAATAAAATTCACAAAATTACGCTGCAGTTAACAGATTCAATTTGAAAAAAAAAGGAAATAGGAACTCCGACAGAACGCAGATCAATTAACAGGAATTTAATTTCCTACCAAATAAACTTGTAGATGGCTTTATCAATGTGCCAAGCCCCGTGTTCGCATGATCGATCACTGGTTGCCAATGCTGATTTTGATATCTTAAAGAAAAACAATGATCATGGGGATCAACCAAATCAAAAATGCAACATTTGAACACCACTCACCTTTCTAATTTCTCGCTCCCCTCATTCCAGAAAAGTACTGTGTCACCATGTAAATATTCCATGATCTTAGCTGTTACAGACTTCCCTGAAATCAGACTTCTTCATTTGCATGGCACTAATACTTTATACCGTGAGAAACTCTTAGTACTTTATTACCTGCTGAGAAACTTTTGCCTTTCAATAAGTGAGCTACCCGAGCTTCCACTCGCTATTGGCCGCGACCATGGCTGAAACCGATGCCCACAAATAAACCGAACTAGATAGGAGTATCGTGGTGGGTACACACTTCGGTTTGCTGATTTTTAGACACTTTCTGGTTTCCTGAATCCCTTTAGAAGTTTATGAAACAACTCCCACGCTGAGCGTCTGTTGGACAGCGTGGCTTATTATGTGTCGCGCCCATATCAATATTCTCTAACTATCCCCCCCCCTTACCTTCTTTACTATTTACTCTATGGATGGCACTTCACAAACTACTTCTAACGATATTAGCTTTTCAGATAGGTTTATCAAAGCGGAAACATTTTTGCCCCTTTTCTTGAAGTGGACAGCCGGCTTCCAATCAGAAAAGTTCCAGAAGAGATAAAAGCATGATGCTCCCGTGGACAATCTCGCCAACACACTAGCAAAGACGCTTGCCAGACTGATTACAAGTAGCTGCAACTCGAATCAAAAAGTTTTTTTTTCATTTTCACACCACTTCGCACGTAATTAGGCTCGTCTAATGAAGCTAAGAAAGAACCTTACAAGTCTTTTTAAAACCAAAAACCCTCACTTCGTCATGTGGAGGGGATTGTCCTGAGCGGTAAACGCCAGCCCAGTCAGCCTCATATGACCCATGTGCAAAAACTCTTCTTGTGATGACCATTCTTCAGCTATAGCTAACGCCAACGCTTCGGACTCGATCTGTAAATACAATACAGGTAAATGTGGATTGCCGGATAATATAACGAATATGATGACGCAGAAGGAAAATAATTTTCTTCTCTTCAATATTTTAATATCAATTCTTGTGAATTTAAAACCATTTAGGGATTTTTTATACAACTAAATAATATGTGAAGCCGTAGATGATAATGTGACACATCAATATTTAGGATAAGGAGTATCCCACCACAAGGCAAAAAATGGAAATATACCAAGTGGAAAGGCAGGCGGGCTCCCTAAGGGTGCGGTACCATGCGGGTTCGCAGCCAGGGGTGTGCCACCAGCGGCCTACAGGGCCGCGCCGCTCGTGCCGCTGCCCGCCCACCTCCTCTAGCCGCTCTAGCAGAGACAGAGCTAGCGTTGATTAGGTCAGCACCGATCAGACACGTGTAACACACGCGAGCAACGGGCAAGGGGTCCCATTCGGGATCCAGACGGGTTAATATCCGTCACTGCACCACTGACGACTTCTACCTTTTATTTCAAAAAAGAGAGAATTTTACATCGTAAGTTCCGCCTTTCAAGCACACGTACCAATAAGAATGTATTCATCCGGTACTACTAAATATGTATATACCATACCGAAGGCTGGACCCTGCAGCACTACTCGTTATTATCAAGGGTAACCAAGGTACTGACGCGTCTGCTCCTTCATAAACTATAGCAAATTTTAATTTTACGACTCCTTCAAAATTGTGACGCCACTCAAAGCGAGACAGTTTAATAGGTGCTTCTTTTTACACCCTTACCCAGTTTGTTTGAAAAAAAAAATGACATAACAGAACATCAGTAGGCCTTTTCGGCCATTGTATGTTCAAATCACACGATCAGTGACATATACGAAGCTGGAGAAAGAAGAACGCGTGTGCGTACCACAGGCGAACTGGCCTCATTACCAAGCCACCCTAATGCGCTTTTAACATTGCCAAGATTACGCCAGTCGGATTACGTCACGTACCCTCAGCTAGACAAGATTTATGCGTGAATAAAAATAAAAAAATAAAAAAAAAAAAAAAACGAAAAAAAAAAAAAAAAAAACAAAAAAGTGAGAGCTATTTCTTGAGCAATCACAGATTAATAAGCTATCCAGCTGGTCATACAGACGAGACAGCCATCAATGGTTCATAGGAACAACGGCCTAGTTTCGAATTTTCATCAAGAAGCAGGACCATGAAGAAGCTTCCATTCTTCAATTTCTCGAGCAAAATTGAACAGCCCAACCACATTATATCAATATTTACTATTTATTTTTATTTGTTTTACTTATTTATTTACCTACTCATTTATTTATTTATTTATATTATTCCTTACGCTCGTAAGAGCGCCACTACCGGTAGGAATAGTCGAGATACTGTGAACTGATAGGATAACCATGGGCCGTATGCTATCCTCCCCGAAAGGGGGTTTGGGGATGAAAAGTCCTTTAAATTTTCTTGTCTTCCCATGTGAGATTGCCCTGATAAAAGACCTACATTTAACACCTTGGAGCCCACGCAGCCCATATGTGGGCTGCAGTCCGTCGACAGCGTAGGACCTTTCAGCTCACATTTCGGAAACAGAATGTCCAAGTTTTTCTTTTGCTTTCTTTTCCGTTGCATTCGATGAGGTTTCCTCTGCATCATACAGTAGGATTTTCTTTTCAATTTGCTTGGTAACGTTCTCAAAAATTTCACTGAACTTCCAAGCGGCCGAAAAACCTGAAACAAGCACGGTCTCCAACGTGTTAATGTATCTATGTAGTTAAAAGAACATGCCCAACTGAAAATGAAGAGCCATTTGTTCGAAGGAAACTTTGGATCACTTAGCTTCGGGGAAGCACAGCATACGGACCCATATTTGAAGTAAGGGAAAAAATGCAAAAAAGGCAATATAGAAAGGAAAGAGGTAACTAGCCGAGCAAGAAGTTAACAGTAGCATGAGACCCCATTTTATCCCAAAAAGCTCAAATGGTCTAGAATTTTTTTTGAGCCTTTTGCTTTTTGAAATACAATTTTGGAATTTCATACTAGTGTTGAATGCTTAGATCAACATGAGTTTTCGGGACAACATCATATCTAAATCATTCCATGATGTGCGTTGTTTACTCTAGCGAATTCAAGGCGCGGTCTTTCACAGGACTTGCAGCAAATGCCATAGACGTTATCACTAGGTAAACTCCAGCTGAATCTCATGACACTTCGATTGATCGATTGATGAGGAGTCACTCATCCTTCAGCATTTCAACTTTATGACACTGCACAACATATTCTTACATCTGATTGGCCTCGGACTTTTTGCAGTGGTAAGTATATTTTATAACATTTTTTTCTATAAAACGGTTAAAAAAAACTGGAGTTACAACTATAGGAAAACTTCCCAGACATCTCTGATTTTAATGTGTGTCGATGAAAAAACAGACGGAACAGCATTCAAACCCTTGATGTAATTTTCAAATTCCATTTTGTAAATAAAGATACAATTAAGTAGTTATTAAATAAAGATACTATTAGGACCAGATGAATAGATAGCAGAGATGGTCTAATCCAGTAAGAGGGAAGGGAGGGGGTGTCCAAAACAGGCTCTCACAAGCAAATGAGTGGTGTCCTAAATTTTGGGCAACCTCACCTGAGGACGAGAACTGAAACACACCCGTGTGACATAGCATGCAGTTTACTGTAACAGGCCGCAAAAATCTCAATCTCAGGTCACAAAAATTCCAATTTTTGCATGGGTAGGAAGTTTCGGAGTGGATGTAAAAGCGGAAGTGAGATAGTTACCGCACAGGTAGTCAACCTCCGGGAGTCTCTTTACCGGCAAAATTGGAACCACCGCAAGTTGTGCGATCTGTCGTAAGACATCCTTCCTCAATAAACTCCGGCGACATATCCGATCATAGTTAAGAGTATTTTCTGGCCACCTGGTCAATGAAATCTTAGAATTCCCTGGCAAAACCCCTCTTCGATTAATTTGCTGGTGAATGGATTCAGCCCCACCTTCAAGTCTTAGACAGAGCTCACCAAACGTAGTTTACTCTTGTTCAAAAGAGGGATACAGGATGAGTGGTAGAGAAATGAGTTGAACAACACATCGTAATGGAAGAAGCAACGACAGCGCTAATTTTCAAAGTTGTTACGGTGACTGATGCATAATAATTTGTGGTACAGCAACGGAATCTCTGAGGCCGTTCAAGTGCTCATGGCACCACTCTTATGGAAAGCAACTGCCTAAAATTAACCGAGTACTGTTCGAGTGCTTGCAGCACACCTGTTTCATCAACTCTGTTGCGTCTCAACTGAAGCGATTCACGTTGATTTTGGTTGGGGTCTTTGGAAAAAACTCAAAGGACTAACCTAATTCATCTAAACATCTTCAATGTCAAACAGACATATTTATGTGGTGAAAACCATTATTTGACAATTTTTGAACGCAGGCATGGATTGCTGAACATTGACATTCTAAGGATCACTCGATGCTTTTTTGTTTCGAATGAAGGAATGGGCTATGCCGTACCCTGATATCATCCATTCACTGCTTCGGATTACCTCTACGTAAGCATAACGTGCGCCAGCCTACGACAAAACAAGAGATAGAAAGGTGCTCGTGAAATCTCCAATTTGCACACCAGAAAGATTTACTGATAAGCTCCCGTCCCGGCACTGCGAATGTGTCTGACAACGAGAGACTTGGGTGCATTTGAAATGGTGGGGCCTGTTCTGTCCGACTTCTCCATAGACCTTTCGAAATTAACAAGAACTGCTACTCCTGGCAAGTCCCGTGTACGAATGCACAATCCGACCTTTCAAAACACGGCACAGATGATAGAGGAGGGGGCAAATGACAGGTGACAGACTTGGTGCAGAACTTTGCATCCGTTTTCTGATTGATGCATTGGACTGCTGGGTGAACAGCTGACACCCGCAGCAAGTGCAGAAAAAATGTACCAGCCAGGTATTCGTCACAAATTTACAATATCTACTTCGTGATACTGAAGAATGAGATTTTATCTTCAAATTTTGTTGGGAGTATTTTGTAGTAACTGAGTCTAAAATGAAGAAGTGCCTCCCATGCATTACAAAAATTGTATTCAGCTTCTGATCCTACTTTGCCTACTCTGCAAGCTGGTCGACAAAGCTATCGTTTCCTCAAAAGAAGGCCGTCGGTGGGCCTCACGACGGACTATCGGCTCATCGCATGCGGGCGATTTCCCATGACCCCACTGATGGTTCGTCCACATTTAATCATTAATTTATAATATTTACCACTTGTCAACCATTATCGCGCGCATCAAAAGGAGCTCCGGGGAGGATATTATCTGGAAGACCGTCTCGCACACCGAAGCACGCCTCCCCATAATCACTTGATCTATCCTTCATCGCCAGCCCTCTTAGAACCGGAAGAATCGATTTCAAAGGCTCAAAGATAGGGGAGTAGGGGTGTAGAAAATTGCAACCACCAAGGTCAGGCTGCGCCCATTGTGAGCGGGTTAATTACTAAATTCAAGTTATCTCGGCACAACTTATGTAAACCTCTTCTTTAATAACTTTTTCTGCATCAGAGACTTCCGTAACCACATATAAGATTTTTCAGCCAGTACCACCCCTTTGAAGAGCAACCTGCTGACCGCAAGTGGGTCTACCTAGTGACTTGACAATTCAGTGCACACCTCTGTCCATTTTCCTGCTTCTCGGCTGCTTAAGAAGCATTCTGCACCATCCTTTTCATGTTTGTGCCCAACTGTCATGGGCGAACCCCTTTAGGTCTACGCATGCTTAGTACACCTTGACCAATCCCAAACGTATCAGCTGTTTCCAGGTGCTACTGAATTTTGCGATGGACTGACAGACAGACAACAAACAGACAAACACAACAACAACAAGATAGGCAGACTTAAACCGATTTACATTAGTAGAATAATGCCATGAAGCTCACTTGAAAAAAAAGATTCAATATGAGAAATACCGGCGCTGTACATTCCATAGACGCTTTTGGTTTTCTACACGTCTTCATGATCCCAATCTTTGAAAAAAAGTCGAACTAGCAACCAAACGCTTCCAATATGGTGACTTCAAAAGCAACAATAATGCAAGAGCGCTAGCGCAAAGGGAATCGTGTTGAGATAGAGAAAACTTCTTTTTAAATTCATGAGTAAATGCATAACCTGTCAATTAAATGTTTCTATCTCTCCCCTTATTTTGAAGTTTTCAGGGTTATGAGCGGAAATACATAATCTAACTACTTCATCATGGATCCCGGTTTCTGAATGGATGTTCTCAACGGCTCAGCTTTAACTCACTTCTTCATTTGATCTTATCCGATTGTTATTGACTTATTCATACCTCATAAATGAAATGTTCGGCTCTGGATGAGATGGACCTTCTAGTCTTCAAAACAGCGAGAAAAAAGAAAAATTGCTTCTCTCAAATTTGTTATCACACCTCAGAAAGAGGACAAGTACTTTCACTTCTCTCCTGTGTGAGTAATGAGAAATCCAATCAATAATCAATTATCCCCTAATCAAAGCTGGTGAATACTTCAGTAGATAGAGAACCGGTGGGAAATCATCTCGAAAAGAAAAAAATCTCCATTCTAAAAAAACACAAATTCAACATTAACTCTAACGTGATTATATTTACTGCTTATAACAAACAGAAAACGAAATTGTGCAAAGTAATCCCAAACTGTTCCAAATTTCAGATATCTTTTGTATTCATTTATATTCAAAGGATGTAAAAATGCATAGCAAAGTTCAAGTGAATGAAACCCTCACACTGACCTTCAAAACGTTACCGCCTTGTGTCTTGAGCATGCGACCGTCCAGGGCAACTTTGAATACTTTGTTATCTTGAGAACCTTCTTCGACGACATCCACAACCTAGAATCGCTATTGACGTTCACGAAGTGAATCTTTCACTAACAGCTTTTTCCTGCCCACTACCGGGGTTTTTTGGCAGGTTTCTAAAGGCTCAAAATCTAATGGATACCAGAAGATAGTTCACTATAAAGTTGCTCAAGACGCTACCATCACCATGAGCACTATGGCGGTATACCACTTAAGAAGCCCTTCTTTTATGGGATATTGCTGGAAAATAGATATCAACTTCATCAATAGCTGTGGACTGTGATTATTACAGTTCAGTCATCTCTACTTTTTTCTGGAAAGCGTAGAAACGCAAGCGAAGGAATTTTTTAATGAAGTTTTTTATTCGAGGAGGGAACTTTTCTTCCCGTAGACCTGAAAAGATGATCGCTATCCGAAGAAGCCCCTTCTAACCTGTCCTTTCACGAATTAGAAAGATGAGCTATAATGAGAGTCAACACTTGTACAATAGAATACCGACACGCTACTGGACCTTTAATTTCGGTACTGGAGCCATTTCCTAAGTAATAGTTCGGTGCAATTCTTGCACATACTTCGTAGCCATCATTACCACCCTTGACAAGAAAGGCTAGTTCACGCACTAGCTTAAGAAAAATAAATTCGGTTGAATCCTTATGACCTAAGATCTCTGAGAGACCGAAAAAAGAAGGACTGCACAATTGTTCGTGGCAAACGGAGTGCAGATATGAAAGCATAACATGTCCACTGCAACGCACCATGAGTAACCTTTCGCATAGTGAACAGAAGAGAAGGCATCGGAAATATCTATCCATTGGATCTTATACAAGCTACAAGAAAAACAACAATTACTAAGCCGGGAAACTCGTAGCGAACCCCACAAATCCTGACCAAAGCCTGAGGCATGCTCGATACCACGCTTACGTTCCCAGAAAGCGGAGGACGTAAGCCACTAGAAACCCCCTGCTCCTTTTTCTGATGTATTGAGAAGCGAATGAAAGAAAACACCTGAATTGGAAAAAAAATTGAAATTGTTGAAAATCAGAACCTTGTAAAAACGCCTCCTTTTCGTCAAAGCTGATGCTGATGAAGCCGTGAAACGTCGAGAGAGAAATCGTGCAAGCATTTTCCTACCGTCATTGCAAATTACAAATCAACCATTCAACACCATCATGCTTTCAGAACCAAAGTAAGACGGAAAATTGTGCCAACATAATGAAAACTATTGGAAGCAGTGAGAAAAACAACAATTTATTAGAACAGGAATTACTAGCAATTGACAAGAACTATTATGGCGACTATAAGCGGTAGTAATACTACTCAGTGAAACGCATCGGTGAACCGGATTATTACCCACTTTTTAAACTGTGTGAGAAGGTAACTATGACCATTACTAAAGTGTCTCACCTAGTGAAGCCAAGCTCACCACATTTGACTAGACATAATGCAAACAGGATATGAGTTTTAGGAAGGGCAGGAGGCTTAGAGGAGACAAACGACCGTAACGAAGAGTACCAAATTATTCAAACGTACTTCGGTCAGAGTGAGCGACTAGCGGCAATGAGCTATTTTGCATTGAGGG